GGACTTCACTTGTCTCATGGTAATGAGCAAAATATTCCAAATATCCAGGAGATCTGTGAGGGGCTTCGCAAGCTATGGGTGAAGGTGGGTGGTGGACAGGAGTCCTTTTGCTGTCTCGGGGAGCACAATTTGAAAGTGGAGTGGGTGGACAGGAATTAGGCAAAGGAAATATGCTGCTCACCCAAAGAAGGTAAAACAGGACTCCAAGAGGTGGCCCTGCAAAGGGCAAACAGTTTGGGCAAAAGAAAAGTTAATTTTCTTCTTTAGAACCTAAAATTAGTGGGTGCTATTTCTGAGAATGAATGATTGTCATCAAGAGGGGGCTATGTGTGCCCCAAGGATTAGTGCATGCCTCGGTGGAAGAACATGAAAATCTCTTTTCAATTCACATTGGTGGGGACCCCTTTTAAAGGACCAGCACGGGGTCCTCATGTCCCCCCACAGCCAAGGGACTCTAAAAGCCCCAATTCAGCATAGGTCAATTTGTTGAGTAAAAATCTCGGCATCATCTTGGATGGGACAACTAAACCTTCACTGACCAAATTCTTGGGGAGAGAGTGGGGTTGGAGGATCCTGGGGCAAATAGCCTAGTCGTCAGAGGTGGCACGTGGAGTTTCTCCATCACAGGAGGGAAGGCATCGTGGTCATTTTTCCACAGCCCTCCCAGGATGCCACAGGTTGGGTCATCTATAACAAACAAAAAAGTACTGGCTCCCAGCCACGGAGGCTGAGAAATCTAAGCTCAAGGGCTGGTGACTCCCAGACCTCTCGCTGCCACACAAAATAGCAGAAAGCATCATTTTATGAGAACGGACTCCTGGCAGAGCCACATCGGCCCATTCGTGAAGGCAGAGGCCTGACCAGCTTGTAAAGGCCCTGCTTCTTGTTACCCTGGGGATTAGTTTCCAACTTGTGCTTTCTGGGACACAGGGTCGAAGGCTAGTAGCACCCAGAAACAGGAGATTTGAAGGAGGCGGTCACTTGGAGACAAGACCATCACCGGAAGTATCTGGGAAAATGTACAATGTCTTGCATGGTTTTCTGTGCAAGCATAAGGCAAAATGACCTTGGTGTCCTTTAAAGTGATCTGTTTTTAAAAATAAATAAATAAAAATAAAGTGATCTGCTTTGCCCTTTAGGACTTCCTCTACTTTCTCTACCCTTTAGTAAATCCAGTTGTGTGACAGTGCTATACAGAGAGGAGGAACTCATTTCCCACCTCCCCAGCACACAGACCCCTGTGCAGGTGCCGGGGTACTACAGTGACTCCCCTACTGATGCCCTGCGTTGCAGATGGCACAGAACTCAGCGCTGCCAGATGAGAGCAGAACTCAGAGCCAGCAGCCAGGCAAAGTCAGATATGGGGGAAGGGAGACCATGTATGTCTTCAAATCTAGAGGAGAATGACCTTTAGGGGACACCATCGGTTCCTTCATTGTGCCAGTGAATCTTGAGTGTCACCTTGGATAAATGAAGAGGGTCCTGGATAGGTACTTGGACTGTGAAAGTGCTGATGTCATTAAAAGATTTCCTTGGGCTAGGGAGATAGCTTGGTAGCATAAGCACTGGCCTGGCAGGTGCAAGGTCCCAGGTTCGATCCCTGGTACCGCATGCTGTGCTGACCCCAGAACCGCAGTGCACCGTGCCAGCCCTGAAACCGGGTATGGTGGCGGATGCCTATAATCCCATCATTGGGGAGGCTGACACAGGAGGATCACTATGAGTCCCGACTGTGAGGCAAAACCCTGTATTAATAAAAATAAAAAAATAAAATAATGGAAACATTTTTAAAAAATAAAAATAAAGGGTTTCCATGCACAAGTTCACAGCTGCATGGGGCTATCACAAGGTAGGCCTGGTGGGAGGAAGTTGGTCATGGGGGTGGGACCTTGAGGACTGTATTTGGTCCCTGGCCCTGTCTTCTCTGATATGATTCACCTGCCGTTATTCCTGGTTGCTGTGAGGTGAGGGTTTCTCTCCTTCACCCTCCCCCTCCATGATGCTATTTCTGCTCTGGAGCTGACTGACCGTGGGTGAAACCATGAGCCAAAACGAACCTCTCCTTCATGTTCCTAGAGAGCAGAAAGATATGCAAGTGGAGGCTTCCCATAGGTGCGAGGGCCTATCTGGCAAAGAGAAGGCAGCAAAAATACTCTCAGGTAGTAGAGATGGAACCCAAGTCCCGACAGGTAGGCAAGCATTGAGTTACACCCCACAGTTCAGAGAGCAGAAACTATAAGACCAGAGATACCATTTGGAAGCTTGCGCAGTGTGAAAACTGTGCTGGTGGAACAGGTTTTAGCAACATAAGCCACATCCTAGCCTTTCTGCACATGAGGAAACTGAGACCCCAAGAGGGGTAAGGGCCACTGAGATCCCATGGTTGGACCCACTTCTTTTGACTCCTGACTTAGGTCTTGTTTGTGTTTTCATTTTTCCCAGGTGTCATTTTAACCCTGACAATTTGATCCTTCACTGTGACAAACCTATGAAAAGCCGTTCGTGGGAAACTAGGGAACTCATCCACCAGGACTCTTTTATTGGGTTTTCTGGTGTCCACTAAAGATAAGTTTTATTATCTTACCCCCTCCTTTTTTTTTTTCCAGGAAAGTAATTACAAATGTTTGTGTAGACAGGGAGTGGGATCTCTGAGTCAGAACTCTCCTCTTTGTTTGAATTTATTCAAAGAGGACTGCATGGGCAAAGGGTATCTAATGGTTTCCATTCAAAAAGGAACTTGAAATAGAGCCACAGGGCTTGGCAGCAGTCCTCCAACCAAGGGAGTCCCTGAAGACAGCCCAGCCTTTTCATTGAGGAGATATTTGTCAGTGGCAAAGGTGACCAGACCCTTAAGAGGAAAAATAAAGCTAGAAACATCCAGGAATTAGGTGAAGTGGCCCCTTTAAGTAGAAATCCACTACTGTAGAACAGTAAAGAGGGAGGAGGCCAATGGTCTTGGCGCTCAGGCTAAAATCTCTTTCCTTCCACAGAATTAACATCTGTGGAGCCACTTTATCAACTCAGGCTTGAGGACTGGGCTGATGTTTTGCTGTTGGTCAGAAAGACGGCTCTTTAGTCATCAGATATCATGTCCTCTCGGCAGCCCCAAGCTGGCAGTTGTGACACTGCCTCAAGTAGTGATTCATGCATGGGGTTTCCCAGAACCTTGACTACGCAGATTTTCAAGGGTTTTCTGTGGTCAGAGGTCGTGGTCCAGCCCATAAATCTCCATTCTTCATGGCTAAGCCCTGCTGGTTGTGAGGAGTTCGTGTAGCAGGGCAACTGGCTCTGGGAGGTGTCCAGATTCACCCAGACCTCTTGAGTCGGGTGTTTACAGCAACAGGGCCTGGGCCACGATCCGTGGGCTGCTGCGGCCTGGACTGTGTCACCCTGTACCTGGGACTCCCTGAAAGGCTTGGAGACAACACTTCTGTTTATTCGCAGACAGGAGACCAAAAACACACATTGGAAGCATTCTTGGCCTGGCAGCACTGGTGTGAGCCAAACAAGGAAACTAACCAGGAGGCCAAGCTGCACTCAGCGTTTCCTTCTCTGTCCTGACCTCGGTCCTCGTTCAGGGTTCTCATCATTTTTCTTTTCTGTTTCGTTTTTTCATCCCTTTTTTAAAAATGAAAAAGCACTTCCCCTTCGTTCACTCTTAGATGTCGTCCGTGGCAGCCAGGTGGTCTGAGAAAAGCACAGCTTCTCCGGAGCAGAGCCTTGCTCAGCTCCCAGACCTTGCTGGGCAGCACCCTCCCTGAGCTCTCTGAGCCCCAGCCACAAGGGCCTTTGCTTTCTTCAGCGAGCCTTTGCAAATTCAGAAGAGTTGGGTGGAAAGGTCAGGCAGCACACACGCATGGATTCACCGGTGAACCATTTGTATTTGTGTTTAGAATTCACATATGGGAGCCGCTGAGATAGGTCAGTGGTCTAAGCGCCTGCTTAAGCAAGCTCAAGGATCCAGGTTTGATCCTTGGTACTGAATGCTGTGCTGGCTCCTCACCCAGGTGCAGCCAGTGAGACCCTGCATGGTGGTGCGCGCCTGTAACCCCAGTGCTGGGGAGGCTGAGACAGGAGGATCACTGTGAGTCCGAGCTGTATAGTGAGACCCTGTACCACATACATAATAAAAAATAAAATCAGCACACGGAAAACTTCATTTTTATTGTTGTATTTTTTCTCTAAGCTTTCACTCCTGTTTTGATCCTTGTAATCATCACCACAAACAAGATACAAACCAGTGTCTATACAATTCCCTGATGCTGAGGCACTTACTGCTCCATTCTCTGTTCCTAGAGTTCTGCCTTTACCTGTCCACCATATAAAAATGGAATCACACTGTGTATAATCTTTTTCTTTTTGCACCGAACACATTCACATTTCTTTTCTTTTTGTTTTTAAAGCAAATGACAGAGACCCAGTTTACCAGCTTTTATAAACCTAAGCTTAACATTACACATTTAAACAACTGTCAAAACTTTACTAAGCTGCCGGCATCCATGCACAACTAGAAAACAGCCTTAAATTTGTATTGAACCAGAAATATATTACCATTCATGCACAACTTTCATTACTAAATACTGAAAAAAAATGGAAATTGCTTCTGTGGAGGACCCGTCCTGGCAATGTTAGCTTCAGAGCAGGCGGACGCTACTTGGCTCACGTTTCAAACACAACGGAAAGCAGATCCCCACTGGTGTTAGAGTACAATCCCAGCCTAGCACTGCTCAAGAGTCAAGGCTTACCTTGGATCACATTTAATAAAAAAGCAAAGTGCATACAGAGATTACAACAATTTTAAAGACAAAAAAATGGTCCGAGTGTGTGGTCCCAACAATAAACTCAAAAGTCTATGACAAAGAGGGGCTCCGATGAGTTGTTTATAAATACTTTAGATTGGGTACAGTTATACTGGAAGTTGAGTTCGTCTGAAATCTTAAAAAAAAAAAAAATGTTCCTGTTAATCCTCAAATGCTGTTTGTTGTAGTCTAACATTCCTGTTAAATGCGTGCATTGAATGACTTGCTATCCAAGCGCAGCAGCTGCTCCTTACCATTTATTGTTAAGGACTTTAACTGTCCATCTTCTTCGACTTCTACTCTTTCTTGACCATTCTCAACAATTCTCTTTGTGGTGATTTTTCTTTGTTTTGCGGAACCAGGGATTGAACTCAGGCCCTTGCGCTTGCTGGGGAAGGGCTTATTCCACTGAACCATCTCCCCGGGCTCTGTGGTGATTTTTCTACCATTAATGATTTTAGTAGAAGTTGATATAGATTTGAAGTTACCCATCGCACTGCCCCCAAGTGATGTGGATGAAAATGAAGTGAGGCCCCCGTGACCTAGGGATCCAGATGAAGGAAATCCTGTATCAGATGAAGAAAATCCACCTCCACAGGATGAAAATCCACTGAAGGTGGAGAAAAAGGACCCTGTACCATGGCTTCTGCTTCCTTGGGGACCCCTTCGGTTCCCAAAAATGTCTTCAAATGGGCTTTCATTATCAAAGAAGTCAAATGAAAATAGATCCCTTCCACCAAAAAATTCCCTGAAGACATCTTCTGGGTTCTGGAATGTGAACCCAAACTCAAATGGACTGTCAAAATGACGTCTACCTCCTCCACCACCATTTAATCCTTCTTTGCCATATTTGTCATAGATGTCCCATTTTTTAGCATCTGATAACACCTCATATGCCTCAGCCACTTGTTTGAATTTTCACTCAGCTTCTTCTTTATTCTCAGGATTTTTATCTGTAGTGCCAGTTTCCGGTATCTCACTCTATAAAAGTTTGTTCACATGTAAGGCCTAAATGAGTTACATCCATGTAGACAGCCTCTGCAGCCATGTGCCAGTTCCACACGGACACCAACGGGCAGTGCAATAGTTCTCAAATGTCAGGGTGGACCAGCATGATCCAAGACAGGTTTGGGTGCTTTCTTCATGTGCTCGGGGGAGGCGTACCTCTGCACGCCTAGAACTTCATAGTAATCCACCATGTTTGAACAGTGCCGGGACAAGTCCGAGGATACGGACTACCGGTGGCAAAAAGGAGGAGGTGTGCAGCCAGCCCCCTTATGGCTCTAGGACGGTACGCTGGTGGTGGCTGCAGCGGCTCCTCATGCCTTCCTTTCTCTTGTATATGATCTTTTGAGGTTGGCTGCTTTCAGTGTTATGTGAATCAATGGCCCAGCCTTTTCTACTGCTGAGTAATATTCCATCGTGTGAATGTTCCCTGGTTTGCATTTCCATTTATTGGTTGAAGAACACCTGAATGTTTCTCATAGTTTGGGGCAGTCATGAATAACAGCACTATAAACATATGTCCTTAGGTGTTGGTGTGAGTGTGAGTCTTTATTCCTCTATCATAAATACCTGCAGATTTGATTTATGGTGTAAGGATATGTTTAACTTTCTTTAAAAAAGAAGATTGTTTTTTGGAGTGCCTGTCCACTACTATTTTCCATGCCTACTTGCCAGGCTTGAGAGTTCTGGTTTCTCTGCCTCTTGTTAGCACTTGGTGTCATCTGAATTCTTTATGTCAACTGTTCTAACTACTACACAGTGGTACCATGCGGTGGCCTTTGGCTTACATTTCCCTAATGACTGGGAATAGTTAAGCAGCTGTAGACAGGGTTATTTTAATCTGTCTGTCTTCCTTGGTGAGGTTCATGTTTAAACCTTTTGCCCATGTTTTTTATTGTTTCTTATTGTTGAATACTAAGGGTTCTTTATATATTATGGGTACAAGTCCTTCATCTGATACGTGATCTGGGCCAGGGAGATAGCGCAGTGGTATAAGGGCCTGCTTGGCAAGCACAAGGTCCTGAGTTCAATCCTTGGTGCCAAAAAAGAAATATGTGATCTGTAAATACTTTCTCCCAGTCTATGGCTTAACTTTTCATTTCTTAAGAGTCTTTCACAGAACAAACATGTTTAACTGAATGAATAGTGGTTTCTCATTTTTCTTTTAAGCATCTTTCTTATGATTCAAGATCTGACCTGTTTTCAGTTAATTTTTGTATATGATTTAGACAATGCAAAGTGTGGTACGTAATGGAATACTATGCAGCAATAAAAGTGAACTATAAGCCAGGTGTGATGGGGCACGTCTATAATGCCAGCACTTGGGAGGCTGAGGCAGGAGAATTTTTGTGAGTTTGAGACCAGCCTGGGCTACAAAGTGAGCTCAAGACCAGCTTGAGCTGCAGAATGAGACTCTGTCTCAAAAAGACAAAAGGAAAAGAAAAGAACTATACTTTTATCAATTATACATTGATCTAAGGAAAACTTTTCAAAAATTGGCCCTTCACTGTAGAAGGATTCACTGAAGTGTGTGGGGGTGAGCAAATGAAATACAGGATTTAGTTTGAAATAGTTCAGAAATGCAAAAAGAAGAGAAAGAGGAAGAGAAGGAGGAGGAGGAGAAGGAGGAGGAGAAAAGAAAGAGGAAAAAGAAGGAAGAGTGGAGAGGGAGAAGAAGGAAAAACCAGTAAAATAAATTAGGAAAATTGATACTTCTGATGCTGGGAAACCCGAGTTCATTGAACTCACAACTTTTGCATTTTCCTGAAATGTTTTCATAATACAAAAATTTAAAAGTAGCTTCCCCTGCTGTCATTTTCAGCACTGTACTTTGTTTTTAACATGAGCATTGCCTGCCTCCTCCCGGAATGTACCTAAGTCTCTTTTGCTGACCTAGTTCCACAATTGAATCAGTTCCTACCCTGGAACAAGCATTCACTTACCCTCAGCACCTTACATAGAATAGGGCTCCTCAATTGGACGATCTGTTGAAGTTGATATTTTATTTATTTATTTAGCCTTTTTCAGACAGGGTCTTGCGATGCAGTTCAGGCTGGCCTTGAGCTCACTTTGTAGCCCAGGCTGGTCTTGAACTCACAACGATCCTCCTGCCTCAGCCTCCAGAGCACTTGGATTACAGGTCTACACCTGGCTGATATTTTATTTTTGATATTACTTTAAAGAATATCTCAGTACAGCCCTACTTTTTGCCCCAAAAGAATCCCAACTCAGGGGCCGGGGAGATAGCTCAGTGGAATAACCACTTGCCTGGCAAGCTCAAGGACCGGAGTTCAGTCCCTGATTCTTCCACACAAAAAAAGGAATCCCAGCTCCTCACTTAGGCGTCCCGGCTCTTGTCTCCTCATGGAATTGGCAGGATTTACACGGATGCTGAGGCTCAACCCCCTCCTGGGCTTTTTCACGGTTATCTCATGATTCCTAATCTGGTTATTTGCTCATCTGCAAGAGCTGCAAAGCCCGCCCTTTCATCCGATCTACTGTTGAGTTCCCTGAGAGGCTGTTAATTTCAAGGAACTTGTGTTTTTATAGACTCCATCTCCGTCAATTGTCTTAAGGCTGCCCTAAACAAAGACCAGATGTTGCACTCTATAAATCTGCAGCTACCAGCTGTTAATCAGTTCCCAATACCAAAGCCAGCTTCTCCCTCTGGTGAAGAGGTTGTGCAACTCCAAAAACAGAGTTTTTGTCTCAACACTTAGCTCCTAAAAGTACCAACACAGTTGAGATTTCTCCCGTGATATTTCTTGTGTTTAAAAACCAAGCCTAATCTCCTTGTCCGATTCACTCGATGTTCTTTTCTTGATGGTGAGTTTGTGGTAGTAGAAGAATTTTTGGATAGAGAAAATGTTCAGAATAGTCTCTGTCTATTCTTCACTGCAGCTGGACAACTTCAGCTGACAGGGCAGAGACTCACTGGTGTGTGTAGTGGAATTCTTCCAAAAATTTGTTCGTGGGACTGGCCCTTCTGAGCAGCCTGCTGGTTACTAAGGAGAAGAAGACCAGTACCCTTGTTGCAGACAAAACGAGGCAGCCTAATGCGCCTTCGGGGCCCTGACTTCTGAATGCCCCCTCCTGGCCCTTGGCTTTCACCCCATTAACCAAGTTCGCTCAGCTCTCATCCCACGAGAGCACTCTCCCGAGTCCCCCAGGGGGTGAGCTCCAGGCTTTTTCATACTCATGACCAGATCTGCGGAGACTCCAAGGTGTGTTCCAGGGCCAGACTATTCCAGACACGGGGAAGCTGCCAAGCCAGGAGGAATTACGGACCCCTTGGAACCTGCGTGCCGTGCCAGACGGTCTGCTTGGATAATTGGAAACATCGAATCTATATTACACTGTACAATATTTTAAGGCTGGAGAAAAAGAAGTAAAATAAGTTCTTTATTCTATATACACTCTACAAATATTTCCTGAGCTCCTGGCATGGGCTAGACCCTGCAAGATGTGTGGAGATTATGCCGGGCTCTGGCCTCCCCATTCAGGCAGGGAAATAGTGCAAAAGCAATTGACCACGGCACGGAACGACACATGCTCTATCTAGATAAGTCTGTTGCATCTCTTTAATTTAGAATGAGTTTAACCTGAGAGTTTTGGTGATGATTTATTTGGGCATGCAGGTGTGTTTGCTGTATGGGCATACCCTTTAATGCTTACACGAATACTGACGCTGTAAGCACGAGCGTCCTCATTTTACAGGCGAGGGAACTGAAGCGTAAAGAGGTGGGACAAGGCTCTTAGTTCGCAGGGATGGAATTAAACTTGAATCTTAGCACTCAACCCAGCCAGGCTGTGATCCTTTACATAGGCTCTGTTCATTTTGGACACTAGAGGGCGCTGAGGTGGAGGAAGAATGGCAGGAAGCCGCCTCTGGGGTTCCCCTGCGCAGCCCCAGCTCCGTGGCCTTCCCCTGAGCGCCTTTGAAGGAGGGGGAGCTATTGGTCCACGGACTCTCGGGTCACAGATAAGGAAGATGAGGACCACAGGCTGCATCTTTCATCGGAGCACTGCAGCCTGCTGCTTCCTTTCCCTGGAGAATTGCTCCGGAATGGTGGTGGAATGCAACTGGATGTCCGTGCACGGGCGCGAGGCTCACGGGTATCTTGTTTCTTCTGCACCTCTTACAGCTGATTCCAAATCAGGGTGGTGGCTAACAGCCTTAGCCAGAAGTTGGCCCAGGGAAGGCAGCGAGTTGGCCCGTAGGTTTTATCCACACTCTAGAGCCAACCCCACCCCAGTCCCAGAGAGATGGACAGCCCCACCCCAGCTGACCAAGTCACAGAGGGCCGAGGCTGAGCCCTAAGCCTGCAGCCTTCAGGGTTATTTTTCTGCAAGGGAACAAGCACTAGCAAGAATCTGCCACGGCTGGGAAGAGGCCCTGGCCTCCAATCCTGCTCTCCTCCCATCTTTGCTGTTGATTTCTGGGTCGCTCTTCCACGATTTACAACTCCCAAGTACGTACATGAAAATTCCTGCGAAGAGCCGCTTGGCATCTTAGGGGAAACTACGTAAAAACCATTGACGAACAATGTGCTTTCAGCCTTCGCGCATGTGTCTCGGGCTATGTGACATGAACCAAATGGTTGTGTTCGACCCGGCCCCACCCCCACCCTGATGCACAGTTAAGGGAGACGCATACCCGGTCACGCTTTGGGGTGCATAGCCTGCCAGCTGGGGACGTCACGCTGCGCTCCCACAGGCTGTGGAGCCACCCTGGAATCTGCAGACTTCCCAACAAGAAGCCCAGCCGACCAAGGGACCCTGCGCGGTTGACTCTTTTCTTGACTCTTTTCTTAATGAATGGCACAATGGGGGAAGAGGTTCAAGAGGGAGACTGAGGCAAGAAGACCTTAGAAGAAATTTGCATGAGCCAAGGAACGACAGGGAGTGGGAAGGAGCAGGTAAGAAACAGGCCAGAGCTCGAATTACCAGGCCCATGTTCTTTTTGGAGTGTGGGCCTCGGGGAAGGAGAACACACAAGTATGGCAGCCTGATATGGTTTGAGCGCTTACCCTGTGCCGGCTCATCTGGTATCAACTCATCTAACTCTAACAAATCATAGGAATTAATGGTGTCCACTCTACACAGGGGAGGACACTGAGGCACAAGGAAACTAAGTCACCTGTCAGTGGTCATTGGGACCTGAACCCAGGTGGTTAAACTCCAGAATCTGCATCTTTCTCCCCATTGCTGCCCGGTCTCATTTGCAGTCTGGGTGACTTGGGAGATGGTGACGTCATTGGCTGAGACCGGAAGTCAGGAGGAGGAGGAGCAGGAGGACACGTGTGTGGGGCCATGTGCAAAGCCTGGATGTTCTGCCAGCACCTCGAGGGGAGATGGACTGTGGGCTCCGTGTTCCAAGGTAGAGAGGGACCTGGTTTTCATTAAAAAGAATGAAACATCTGTAAAAATACTGTTGGCTGGGTTTCCCAGTCAAGCTAGTGAAGAAAGGCTTGCTGTGCTAACAAATAGGAAGACCATGTCCCAGTGGAAGGTACTTAGGCTAGAGCTTAAGAAAAAGCAGGCTAATCAGTAAAATGCTCAAGCCTCTGGAACACCGTGAGTGCCTTGTTGAGAGGCTTACAGAAGAGACCAGGGCCATACCTTGAAGGGGGACCTCTCTCTCTCTCTCTCTCTCTCTCTCTCTCTCTCTCTCTCTCTCTCTCTCTCTCTCTCTCATTTCCTCTCGGCTCTCCCTGTCTCCCCCTTCCTCTCTTTCCATTGCTAAGGATCAGAACATCCCATTGGAATCACCTGGGAGACCTCAGCCCAGAGCTAAAAAAATCAGAACATCTTCGAACAGGTTCTCAGGGTGATCCTCACGTGGAGCATGAAGACTCACGCCAAAGGAGGAAGGTGTGTCTCAGAAGGTAATTACAGACCCAGACAAGTAATCCCTAACATCTACAAGTCCCTTCCCAATTCAGAGAGCCCTCACACATATGTGGCGTTATCTAAGTGACACCCAATTGCCATGCACTCATCAGATGCGGAAACCCACTATCAAAGAGAGAAATGACTTGTACAAAGTTCACCATTATTTATGGGAAACGCCATGACTAGAACTTAGATAGGAAGGCCAAGTTCATCTGTATCCACAAAGAAAGGGAAAATGTAGGTATTTAAAAAGTGACAGTGATTCATGGGAGTTCACTGAAAATTAGTTGATGTACTGAAATATAAAGGGGTGGAACAGCATGGGACCATGCCAGGAAGAACTATGGAAGCCCAGATGGCCCAATTGCCTGATGGCCAGGAGCAGGTGGGGAGGACCGCAGAGGGGAAAGAGTCAGGGATACCATGGTACTGCCCAGGTCTGTGAGGCCCTGTAGCCTGGGGTCCCGATGTGGCCTTTGGGCTGTCTATACCAGGCTGTGGTGGGAGTGGCCGAATTAAGAAAGCGCTGAGGTTACTTACCAATTCATAAACATTCTTTGGGACTTACAGGACACACGAGGGCCTGAGGAGCCACAGATCATCTTACCAGCCAGGCACGAATAACATGCTAATTTGTGTAGGGCTGTGAAATTTAAAAAACAGTGACATCTTCCATTTCCATGAGTGGCCAAAGTCAGTGTTACTCTCCTACCACAGTAGATTCACATGTAAAGCTGGAATAATAGCTTACAGCACCTGAGGCTGAGTGGGATTATGTGTCGGGACAAACGCTAGCGCTTCCTGGTTGCGTCTTGAACTGTGCATGTTCAGGTTCAGCCATGTCACCTACAATCCAGTCAAGAATAGGACTTCCGGGCCTGGCTCCAGCAATCTAGCTGCTCAACTTCTGGACAAGTTGGTTACCCACATGGAATCTGGTTTTGGTTGGTGTAAAATAGATACCCAGATTTTTCTCATGGGGCTGTTGGGCGGATTTGATGAGATGGTACACAGAAAGCCCTTAGCCTAGTGCTCTTGGGAAATACTCACTGTTCAAAGCTTATTGCAAGTTCTAATACTCAACAAATAGCAAGTGCACAAGCCAACTCTGGAATGTAGGCCAGTGCTCCTTCTACTATACCAAGATGGTTTTTTATCTTGCTTTGTTTTTTGATCCTTCTGTAATACAGGATGGAATGCAGGACATTTGAACTGAACTGGATCACCATTCCTTTCAAATTTTTTAATTTTAAGGCAAGGATTTGTTAAGTCCCTAAGTTGCCCACTGACTTGCAATGCCCTCACCTCAGCCTCCCAGAGTGCTGGGATGAAAGGCATGCGCCACCACTCCTGGCTCCAAGACAGTTTCTAATGGTAATTAATGGGCCTTGACCCAAGTGAGAAGGAAAAAAATGATGATTTTTTGAGGCCACTGGCATTCCACAGACTGACATCCTGACACAGCACTTCCTGGGGTGGCAGGAGGCTCAGGCAAGCTTGTAATCTTCCCGAGCTCACCAAATAGACACGGGAATTGATCCAGCAGAGCACAAGCCCCACAGCCGTGGTCCTCACCAGCAGGTCTCACACTCGTGTGCCCCAGAACTCCCTGGAGGGCTGGTCAACACCCAGATGGTGGGCTGTCCTCCCAAGAAATTTTGGTTCAGCAGGCCCAGGGTGGCCCAAGAACCAGCATTTCTTCCAAGTTCCCAGGAGAGGGAGCCAGTGCCCTGAGTGCAGCCTCCTGTCTAGGGAAACCCTGGCTACTCTAGGAGGCCCCCTCAGATGCACCGTGATAAGAGGCCCCTGAGGCTGCCAGGAGCCCCAAGGAGGGGACATGTGTCCCTGCTGAGCTCCTTAGGACCTCGTGACAGCCCTCCTGCAGCCTTGTCAGCTGTGCACAGACCCATGATGGGCCCAGCCTAGGACCTTGAAGCCAGCACTTCCGGCGGGTGTTTTATTATTTATTCAATGGACAGGGAGCATATGTAGAGTGCTGAAAGACACCATGCTGTTGGCTTAACTGTTTGCTGTCGAACAACAAAACTCCTTTGGGCTCTCACAATGCCTTTGCTCGGTCTGTCAAGGGCAGCTCGGTCCCCAAAGAGAGCCCCATTATCATCAGACCCTCCTCAGGGAGCTGCCATCCCATGGCCCCCCAGAACCACTATCCTGGGTCATCAACATACTGCCATGCTGGGAGCCCCGGCACACTAGACAATTTGCATACCTTACAAAATATATAAATTAAGAGGTCTCTATGTATATAAAATCTTTCAAAGGAGACTGAATTCCGTTCTAGGTCATGCCGGGTATTGGTGAGAACCTTGATAGCAAAGGCGGTTTTCAATGGAGCTGATACTAAGAGAAGGGATTTATACACCGGCCAGGGCCCTTTCGTGTCCTCCGTGAAACCCTCGGGTGTTGTCAGGGCCTCTGGGCAGCCTCAGCACCCCCACAGGCAACCCGTCCGCAGTCTGCATCTTCCGAGACAGCAGGGGACTCGCCCCAGGGCTCTTCTCCTGGGTCCCCATCTCGGCCTGGCGGCGCCTCCGCACCCAGGGGCTGCCGGAAGGAGTGGCGCTGCTGTCGGAGGAGTAATCCATGCACTTGCGGAAGATCTCGGGCCCGTCTTCAGCCAGCGGGGATTTTCTGGAAACGCCTTTGCGCTGGGCCAGCGGGCTGCTCCAGGGACTTGAGCACGGAGAGGCGTTCGGGCTCAGGAAGAGATTCTGGTGGCCAGCAGGGCTGAGCTTGTGGGGGCCCACGTGCCGCCGGCCGGCCATGGGCGAGGTGGGGTTGCTCTCGGGGTCCGAGGAGCTGTTGGCGGAGGACTCGTCCCCCATGTACTGCAGCTCCTCCACGCGCTTGTTGAGGGACCTGTTCGGGGGGATGCTCACAGCGGGCTCCTCGTCATGGTGCTTGTCTTTGGGAGGTTTCTTTTTGGGTGGCTTCATCCCGATTAGGACCGCCTTCATGTTTTCTCTGCTCTGAGACTCTGTGATCATGAACTCGTGCGCCCTGATGGCCGCTTCCACCTCCTCGAATTCCACGATGGCACATTCCTGGGTGCCCACCTGGTTGTATCGGCTGCTGATCCGCCGGATGTCGGGGGGCAGCTCGCGCCCTGGCTTGAGGATCCGCACCGAGGAGATCACTCCGAAAGTCCCAAAGAGCTTGAGTAGCTGCTCCATCACCTTCTCCTGCACCCTGCCGTTCTTCGGTGGAGTGCTCAGAGCCCACAACTTGGGGGACAGGTGGAGGTCATAGACCAGGAGCATCTTGCTGGGGAGGTTCTCGTTGGGGAAGAGTGGGACGGGGGTGGTCCTCCTGACCTTCCGGTGGTCCTCGTTCAACTCCAGAGTCACTGAATACTTTAAGGCATAAGCTGTGGTTCTCCAGTCTCGAGTCAGGTGTTTCACCTGGAGAACAGAAGAGCACACAGAAAGTGGTACCTGGTGTCCTTTCGTACCTCTTGACCTCATGTATGCTGCTGTCTCCCTCCCGTCCTCATTCCTCATCCTACTACCTAGAATCACACCTGCCAGGGGATGCTCAAACATACAGGGGATAAAAAACATGTTCTACAACTTTGAAATGGGGTCGCAGTTTACAGTGGTTTCATCCAAGAGAACCAGACAGCGGAAAGATTCAACACTTGAATCCTTTTAAAATGTATTTGGTACAGGCTCTCGCTATGCAGCTCAGACTTGTAGTGATCCTCCTGCCTCAGCTTCCCCAGCACTGGGATTATAGGTGTGCGCCATCATGCCTGATTTGGGTGGCCAGCTTGGTGTGGGGCCAGGCAGGTGATTAGTCCGCCCAGCTATCTCCCTGGCCTAGAAAAGTTCAATTCTGTGGAAGTCTATGTGTTCACTATAATAAGGCACTATAAATGTATGCACAAGTCCAAGACTTGCCTCTAACTGGCACAAAGACTTGGAAAGTCATTCATACTCTTGCTGTCTCACTAGCCTCATCTGTAAAATGGAAATGTTATCAGTGTCAGCTCCACAGAACCATCATGAAAATTAAATCAGTAGAAAATATGTATACATGCAGACACACATTTCTATTTAAAATGTAGAATGCCTGGCACTCAGTGAATAGTCAATAATTCTGTGACCGGTTCAAAATAACGAGCTATTATTTTGACAGGACTTGGAGATTTTCACATCAAATGTTCCTCGGAAGCTGTGTTTCTGCAGTCCCGCACGCAATACAGAGAGGGGGCTGGCAGACTGTGCCTGTTTCTCTGCAGGACTGCCTGAGAGTGACATGGACTATTTCAATTTAGAACAAAAATCCAACTTGGGCCCCTCAGAGGGTGATGAAATAACTCCTCCCTCTTTCTCCCTTGATGGAAATTTTGTGTCTTGACACTGCAGTATATGCAAGCTATATTTATATTGTAAAACAGTTATTTTCTAGAGGCCCGCTTCCGGGGCAGGGAATGCCAGGGAGAATGAGTCATTCCAAAGAAACGGTAGAGGTGGGTGGGGTGGGTAACCTGAGCCAGGCATGGCAGAATCACCCTGAGTCCTGGGAGGCCAGGCCAATGCAGTTGTTTTGTAGAAGAATCTGGAACTCTGAGGAGGCCCTGAGTTTCTCAAACAGAAACCACATGGAAAACAAGAAGGGACGGCTCAATACCTGGGAGGCCTCGTGGTAGAGCCTGCAAGTAGTCAGGCTCCTGCAAAGGGGCTGCTGTCCCCTGTAGCCTGTGGCCTCACAGGAATCACGTGTCTCCTATACCCAGAGCCTATGGGCTGACACTGTGACACAGGCCAAAGCTGTGGAGGAGTAGGCCCAGATCGCACAGGGCTTCAGATGAGTAGAGTCATGGCAAGGTGGTGGGAAAGCCAGGCAGGGGCTCTCTAGGGGTGACACATCATGGACAGAGCCACCTCCAAAATCAGCCAGAGGGGCGGACTCAGGAGAGGAGGAAAACTCCCTCCTAAACCTGAACTTGGAGCAACAAGGACCTGGGGGAGGCAAATGCTGTCTTACTTGGAGGCCGAGAGCAGCCGATGGCAGGCTGGGTCCATCAGGACAGAAGCAGAAGGCTTGTGGCAGGACTGAAAAGCCCTCTGGAGCTAGGAATGAGGCACCCGCAGCCTGTGGCTGTGGCCTTCTATTCAAAGTGTCCAGTTACCACCTTAGAAGAGGAGCCAGGGACTTTTGGTCCTTGTTCAATTCTACGAGAACTTTCTGAGATCCAAAGCTCTAGGTCAGTTGTACCTGCCTCACTGTGATCACCTTTGCAAATGGAAAGCTGCTGTGCCCTGCTGTGGGGGTGGCGAGCACAGCCTAGAGACAACTCTAGCTGCAGCTGGCCGGCACCGGAGAAGATGCTTCTGCACAGCTCCCTAGCGGCGGCTTAGAAAGGAAATCAGGCTGACCCTTGGGGCCCCTCGGAAGGACGGATAGAATATGCAAGAGGAGTCCTTACAAACATTTCTCCCTTGAGGGCTTGCTCACTGTTCTCTGGACAAGAAATATCCTTTCCTTCCCATCTAGTCTTCAAAACTCCTGCTCATCCCCTGAGACCCTATCCCGTTGACACCATCTCTGGCAAGATTTCAGATCTCCAGATAACGTTAGCTGCTCTGATCAACTAGCTTCCGGCCATACTTCGTTCAGTTTTTACCCATGCGTTTATGGGTGCACCGTAAGCCTCCCTGGCTCCCTCTCTCTCTTATTGGACTGTGAGCTTGACTAGGGCACAGGTGGGTGCCACATGTATTTTATACATGCTGCAGCTAACAAAGCACTCAGCAGACAGAAGGCATCTGTTTGATGAATGAATAAACTGTAAAAGAATAAAAGAGCTAGAGAAGGGGCGGAGCACAGCCGTGGGCGGGGCAAAGAAGAATTCCCAGGAGCAGAGCTCTGCTCGTTGACCAAGTTCACAGGCAACGTGGCTGAGACCACCTGTTGCACAGGCCATTATGCAACAAGTCACGTGGCTCTTTCCCATTCTAGTAAATTGCTCTCCCCAAGGGAAACAGAGTTTTTGTCCCTACCCGGCTGTCAACTCTGCCAAGCAGTGAGGTCAGAGCCCAGTTGCCGCTGTGTCATTGCACAGCCAGGACAAGCAGCCAGCTGCTCAGATGCCTGCAGTTCTCCGACTGCCTATCTCTGGTCTCCAACATAGAGGAGGTATGGAGGTGTCACACACATCACATTAGCATCCCGGAAAAGCCTCATTTCCCAGAGGTCTGGGTGTCCCCCTCTCCCTGTATGTACTCCACTTGACAAATGAAATGCTTGGAACTCATGTCATTCTAGGCTGACAGGTGTCTCTCAAGGCCTTCGATTACCCTGGCCTGGTACAGACAACCCTTCCTAGGCACCTACATTATGCAATACTAAGAACAAATAGTATTTTGTTACTGCTACAGCTGAGATCTATCCCAGTGCCTGGGATCCTCTTAGAAGTATGCACCCATATTCTTCATATGAGCTGAAATCCCTTCTCTTGGTCATTTCTTAGGCTTCAGATTTATTTATTTTTTTTAATTGCTAGGCATCAGGCATCAAGGATATAAAGATCGTTCGATGCCCCCGACCCAACCTGCCGCCCCGGAAGCAGCCAAAGGCCTCACCTTCTTGAAGGAGGTGAGCAGCTTGACGCTCACGTAGCCCAGCTTGTTCCGCCGCACGTGCTTCAGCAGGAAGGCATCCTTCTCCAGGTTTTCATCGGAGAAGTAGAACTCAATCTGATCCACCAGCTTCCTGATGAGCTCCCCGTCGGGGGGCCGCCACTCCTGCTCCAGGTCCTCCTGGTCATTCTCGCCCCCACTTGTGGTGCTGCTGAGACAGGTAGGAGACAGCGGGTTATAAGGAGAACCGCGTCCCTCTTGAGTTCCGCTGTGGTGTGGACTCCCAGCCCCAGGGGCTCAGAAACTGGCCTGGGCATTGGAGACAGCGCCATTGCAGATGGAGTAGTGGAGATGTTACAGTGGATAGGGCGGGCGCTAATCCAGTACAAGGGAGGCCCCTATGATGAGGTGATTTGGGGCAGACAACACAGGGAGAAGCCCTTGGGGGATGAAATCAGAGGACAGGGCGAGGCAGCAGGAACCAAGGAATGCCACAGACTGCCACCAGTGGCTAGGGAGAATCTTGGAACTGATCCCTCCCCAGGACCTGGACAGCTGCATGGGCAGTTGATGTTTGATTTCAGACCTCTGGTTTCCAGAACCACCAGAGGGGACACTTCTGTTCTTGAGCACCTTGCTTGTAGCTCTTCGCGACAGCAGCCCTGAGAAATTACACTGAGTCGTGCCTGAACTGGACTCCTCAGGGGCAGTGACTGCCCGTCCCCACCCACCTAAGAAATCAAGGTTTTGCTTCTAACCAGTACAGAGGATCCTTAAAATCATAACACCCCTACCCGCATTTACGTGGCCCTCTGCCAGTGGCACAATGCTTTCGACACTAGCTGTCTTTCTGTCCCCTCCCCAACCTGATTTGTAGAAGACAGTGCAAAGGAGAGACTTGATCTTTATCCAAGATCTTCCACACTTGCTAAAAACACAAACTGGCTTTCTTAGCTGGCTGGGGAAACGAAGCTCCTGCTTTTGTGGCCAGGTGATCACCACCCGATAGGTACCGTTTGGATGCGACATTATAGTGTTGAGGACAGGGGTTTGGGGCACATACACATTTAGCAACAGAAGAAAGAAGATAATAAAAATAGGGCATGGGCCAGCCAGATAGCTCAGTGGATGAAAGTGCTTGCTTAGGCAGACAAATGGACTGGGGTTCAATCCCTAGCATGCCGAGCTGGCCCCACCCCTGGGGCACACTGAGACAGGGATTGAGACTGGGCATGGTAGGGCATGCCTGTAATCTCAGCTCTTGGGAGGCTGAAAACAGGAGGATCACTATGAGTACCATCTACATAGCGAGACCCTATAGAAACCTGTACTAAATACATTAAAAAAAAAAAAAAAAGGCAGTCAACTGGGGAGAAGAATAAGATTTTTAAAAATCTACCTATGCCTCTGGGGACAGAGCGTGCCAAGAAGAAGGTGGCAAACTGTGACAGGTCCAGCAGCAGGCAAGGGCACTGAGACAGAGAAGAGGAACCAGTGGGGGCAAGGCACTCTTTGGCAGAAGCCTGGAGGTACGGAAAAGCTGGGCTACCCAGGGGAGGTCTGAACAAGCCGGACTAGGTGGACCTCATCTTCTCAGCCCAGTCTGAGCCGGAATTGCCTGCCGGGAACAAAGCAGACAAGGCAGAGCTTGCATGAACGGGAGGCCCTGGAATGGGTGTAGGAAAGGTGGAGGTCACTGTGCCTTTGGGGCTGTGTGGCTGCTGCTGCTGCTGTTTTGTTTTGTGGTATTAGGAACTGTCCATTCTGTGCCTGAGTTTTCCTGTTATAGCAGCATCAGCTGCTGTACTATGAGGTAGGACTCGGTGGCCTGAGGATCTTTAGGTGATCACTTCCATCACCTCTGACATTTCAGCCATTGGTAGTCAGATCATTTTGCCAATAGCCCTAAGTCCCCTCAAAACTCTTCACCCGTGACCACGCCCCACTCTACCCCTGCTGTTTACTGATCGCCTCCTGAGCTGAGCTCAGCATTCCCCATGCGTCCTGCCTGGTATAGCCGCCATTTATGTCCTGTTGTGCCTTGTTCTTGATTTAGGTCTCATTAGGTCTCATAATGTGTTTGAGTCAGGTCTCACCAGGCTGGCCTTGGACTCACCTCGATCCTCTTGCCTCAGCCTCTTGCCAGCCACACTGAGCTTTTATGTCTTATTGTATAAGTGAGGGTTTGGGGTCACTTATAGCCTTAAGCACCTTCTTCTAATTTTTTATAATTTTAGTTTTGGTTCTTCTGTTAGCCTTCTACTTGTTTTTATTTTTGTATTTTTTTGTATTTTAGGGAAGGGTCTACAGGGTGTTCAGGGTGTCACTACAGACTTGTAGTGATTCTCCCGTTTACAGCCTCCCAAGAACTGGGATTACAGGCACGTGCCACCACACCCAATCTCAATTGCCATCTCAGCTCGCCCTGGGAATGGGGCTGGCACAGCAGGCCCGGGGATTGAACCCCTGGCCTCTGCGCCTGCTTGCCCGGTGCCTTAATCTGCTGAGCTATTTGACCGGCCCTTACTTGTTTTTAAATAATGCATTTTGCATGGTTTCTTATTCCATCAATATTAATGTTTTTCAGCTATTCCTCACTATGCAGATATGTATATTCCTGTCCCATCTCTCCTTCCACTTCCAGCCTTCTAACTTCAATCAATTACGATTTTATTTCATTGTTTCAAGGTTCGTAATATATTATTCTCTTGTAGAGCTAATCTTCCATGCTTTGCCTCTGTAGAGAGATACTAAAAGGTGAAAAGTCAATCAATTTTATTTTATTATCATGGCTATGTAAACACGTTCCCTTTAGCATGAAGTCATTTGCTAAGATTGTATTTCTTCTCTTGAAGTCCTGTTGGCTTAGAACCACCTGAATTTATCTTAGCTCTCATAGACTCTGTCTTTGCTTTTGTCTCTGATTTATAAGCTAGAAGGTTCTGCTGGTGTTCTCTTTTGATTTTCCTAATGAGTTTTAAAATTGCAGGGGTTGTGTAGTTAGCCGCTAAGAACTCTTTTTGGTACTCAGACTGGTCACTTTTCAAAACGTCCTGTTCTTGTGTGGCGGATGTCCTGTCTTAAAGTCTCTCTCATGGCACTTTAAAACTTTTTGTTTGCAATAATATCAATGGGAGATTGGGCTGGCTGAATAGCTCAGCAGATTAAAGCAGCTGCAAGCAGGCGCACGGGCCGGGGGTTCGATCCCCAGGCCTGCCATGCCGACCCCGCCCCTGGGGCACCCTGAGACAGGGGTGGAGACTGGGCGTGGTTTGCACGTGCCTGTAATCCCAGCTCTTGGGAGGCTGTAAACAGGCGGATCACTAGTCCGATCTAGTAGTGAGACCCTGAGCACCCTGTAGACCCTTCCCTAAATGCAATAACATCAACAGGAGTCAGAGCTTCTATTACACTTTGCCTGATTTGCCTTCTGTGACTACTAATTCACTTCCTGTTTCAAGAACTGCAATAAAATTGTTTTTAGTATAGTTTTAGATTTACAGAAAAGTTATAATAATACAGACCAGGAGTGGTGGCACATGCCTATCATGTTACTATGACTAATAAAAAGTTTTCTCTTGCTCTTAGCTCCATAGTCAGATGCATTTAGAAGCTGACTTTCCCGCTTACAAACTTAGTTCCATTTCCTTCCATATCCTTTGCTGCAAGCAAACAGAAACAGGGATTACAGCAGTCCCTACTTACGGCAGAGGTTACGTTCCAGAGACCCCCGTGACGAGTGAAAATTAGCCAAGCAGCAAAAGCATATTTATTTTAGTATTTATATATGTACTTAAAGGCTTTATAAACCCTTCCCACACTCCTATAAACCTCTCCCATACTTTTAGAAACATTTCTAATGTTCTTAACCATTTTCTAAACTCGTAAACCTACGCAGTTTTAACAACATAGGTATACTGTACGGCACTGCCAAATCCCATGATGTAGCAAAAAAATATTTTTTGAAAACCCACAAAACAGTGAGTCTGCAAAAGTTGAGTCACGAAATAGTGAGGGATAACTGTATGCCTGTAAACCCAGCACTTGGGAGGCTAAAGCAAGTTTGAGGTCAGCCTGGGCTACATGGTGAGTTCAAGGCCACCCTGTACTATACAGGGAGACACTGTCTCAATAATAATAATAATAATAATAATGATGATGATGATGATACAGAGAGCTGTCATATATGTCACCCTGAGCTTGTTTATTATTAATGTATTAGTATGGTACATTTATGACTCTGAATGAATAATTATACATTATTATTACCATTACCAGAAGCCTATACCTCCTTTAGATCTCTTTCATGTCTGCCTACAGCACCCCATTCAGGACACCACATGACACTTAACTGTCACATCTCCTTAGCCTCCTCTGGGCTATGAGTTTCTCACTTTCCCCCTTGTGATGACCTTAGCCCTGTTCAGAGGCACCAATCAGATATTCTGCAGAACATCCTCCCAGAAGGATTTCTCTCATTCTTCTCCATGGTTGTATTAAGGTGACAGAATGGGAGGACGGAGGACCAAAGAGATAAAATCCCAGTCTTGGCTTTTCACAGGATGGTACAAACTACCAACAGACTTAGTGCTATGGAAGTTAACCTTGAGCGCCCATCTGCTGGAGTGTTTATTCAGTTTCTCTACTGCAAAATGACTCCTTCTTCCACTTTCCTACTGTATTCATCGGAAGAAATCGCTATGCACAACCTATACTTAGAGGGGGAGGAGCTCCACAGGTATTCTTTTGGAAGAGGGAAGGCTGGGGTCACCTTTACTTGCAGGGTAAGCTGGGCTCCCACTGAAGCTCTCTCTTCCCGTTGGTCTTCTTCCTGATGGGAGGGGAAGGGCTGTCTATACTTAATATGGAGTGACCGGGGAGGGGTCATTCAGTTGGGCCTTCCTACCCAAACTGAAGGGGCACACTACCCTGCAGCTACCAGCTCTGCTTAGCAGCCATAGCAAATTCACTCAATTCCTTTAAAAATCATCTTATTTCTTCTCTCTCCTCCCTGAAAGTAGATGGTGTGTCGCTTGCTGCTTGTCACTGGCAGGCAGGAAGGCAGGGAAATGGTTCTAAAGGAAGAAGCGAAACGATCTCTCAGACATTGGCTCCTCTTTTCTCCTGGCATCCTTCTTACATTTCCCAACTAGAGCCTTTCCAGGGTTCTGTCGTCCCACCTCCTCCCACCTCCTGTGTTGTATTTTGGGC